CCCCAAAACCCCAAAACCCCAAAACCCCGTAAGATGAAATTTGAAGTAATGAGGAGACCTTGAGCTGAAGATTAAAATTATAAATATTGTTTTATTAATATAAAATAACAGAGAGTCACTTAAAGGAAATATTGTCTGATAACTAAATGTACCATAGCCAAAGGAACTCTCATATAAATAGTCAATCCACCACAAGACTAAATCGATAATAAACGCAACAATAAAAAGACTCCCCTGACAATAACAGTCCATCAACATCCTCTGATAATCAAGGTATTATTTTCCATTTAAGCTTTTTTTAGTGTTTTTTAAGAAAAGAATGAACAAAATTCCAAGCATTGAAATTATCAAGTACGATGTCAAAAACATGACTATTTTCAATTAGCGTTAAGATGAATAAATTTAACCTTAGCAGATTATGCTAAGATCACAAATCCCATAAAATATAATGAATTAAAATTTGAATTAAGGAAAATACATTAAAATAAACAAAGATAACGTGAAAAGATAAGATCTTATCGGAAACATTTCACAGAGCACTGAAGTTCTTTAAAATTTTTTAGGTAAAATAAGAAATAACGAGTAGAATTAAAATATCAAATCAAATCACTTACCTTAGTTCTCTATGTACAGCTCGTAAAATCTTTAGCAAGATTTAAAGTGAAAATAATTCTTGATGCAGCAAAATTTCTTTTAGAATTAACTTGATTCAAGAGGTTCATAAAGAAGCATCAACAAAGGCTCAATTTCTAAACTTCACAACATTATTAATAATAAATTAGTATCTCCCAAGAACAACAGTTAATAGGATTAAGACAATTAGTTTTTAACAAGGTATAAATCTCAATAAATATTCGAAGAAAAGAGCTAGAAACGATACTTGGAAACTGCGCCTTAATCAATATCGAGGCAATAATCTATAAATGAATCGTGTGCAAATATAATTATACCAAGCAAACTAATAAGTATAAAACGAAAGAGTAGTAATAAGAACATAATTATATCACAAAAGACAATGTCTAAAGGCTTAGCTTTCAATAGAAATAATAGTTAGAAAGATTTCTGAGTGTCAACTCCTAAAGTTACAACTACAAGACGAAAAAGCATGCTTGCTGGGATAGGCAACAATATTTAAGTAGATCTTATAAAACAACAATCTAGTCTTGAGTAGTAAAGAAAAAAGCATAAGAGGGAATAAGTTGATTTTCAGGAGTGTTTCAATGAGGTATTGGGTATATTGGATAAAAACGAAGAGGCCTATTATAAACTTTTCAAATATCAAAAAGCTAAAATTCCTAAAAAGAAATAAGTACCATAATTAGAGTATTAAAGCATAAACAAGAAAAAGCAAAAATTTATAAATAATCAATTAGTAAAAATGAACTTCTAAAAGCCGGAATAAAGATAGAGTAATCTACTTATTGCTAATTATTAAAAAGATCATATAAACTTAGAACTCCAACAATTTTTAAAATTTGATCTTCCTGCTATCGATATCAATCTGATTCATAAAAATTTTGCAAAGTACCAAATCAAAAATTATGTGATATAAAGAGTGAAACTGTTAGTATAGGAAAGCAAAAACTAAAAATAGAAGCTATCAACTGAATTAAACCTAAATCAGATATAAGATCAAGATTTTCTAAACAGACAATAGTACTTGATGTTTAAATCAATGCACAGCAAAGAACCTTATCCTACAATTGTACTGGATATAGATAAGTTAATCAGGGAAAATGGTCTGTTAACTTAAAATAACAATGAAAGCATGATATCAATGTAAGAGAGTAATCATAAGCTAGAAATAAGATTAGGGATGAATCTAAAAATATAGTAATTCATATAAAATATAATTACCTGCTATCCTACATTGTTTTTCAGTAAAAAGACTTCTTAAAACAATTAAAATAAACAATCAAGCCAATCTCTAATACTCAACAGACAATATCATATGCATTTTAATTAATTGAGAAGAGTCAGAAGAACTATATCTATCTAGCTTTATTAGTCAATGGTTGATAACTTTATCTCAATAGATTACCTCTACAAAACAGATGCCAGAGATAACATTTTCCAAATAAACTTAATCAACAATAACAACATGTTAAAAGTCTGGCACTTTGACAAGAATAACAATTTAATCAAGCAAAAAAGTGGACAGCAAAACATCATGCATTAGAATAGTGACTAAATAAAAAAAATATTCGCCTTAAAGTTACCTAAAATTTCTAAGGCCAAAAGGAAAACTGAGAAACTGCATATTGACGAGCCAAAAGTATTTAATCTATCAAATTTACCTCAACCTTATAAAAGAGAGCATTTTAGAAGGATTAATAATGACGTCTATAATAATTATTAGAGTCGCATTTTATCACTCCTTAAAACAGGGCGTTATGATAAAAGAGATCAATTAGCTGCAATTAAGGAATAGAAAGTAATAGGATAATACTAAGAATATAAGAAACTTCAATTTTACGAGAGGAAAGCTTCATTACTATGGAAAGATCATCCAAAAGAATTTCAAATTTATAGATGCATTTAAAGCTAGCAAATAAACCATGAATATTTCTAGAGTAGTGGTAGGAAATTTGAAATTGAGTTCTTTTATCTAATCTAAAAAAGTAAGATATCAGATTGCTAATTCTATAGTTAACATTATTTAAAGCAGATTTGAAGAAATCAGAATTAAAAATTTTTAAGAAAAAGAAATTAAATAGCAGAGTAAACATAAGATAAAAAAGATTGCAAGAAAAAATACTCTCTAAACTAAATTGGCATATAGACTAGGCTAGAATATTTATGTAAAGATGTCTTAAAATATTGAAAAAAATTTTGGATAATTAAGTAATTAATTTTTGCATTATTAATATATAAATAGGAAAGCCAGGAGAGAATTACAATTTAAAGACTTTATTTAAGTATGTTAGTTGCTTACACTTCGAAGAAAACTTTAAGTTATACGAAATTTAGGTGCCAAAGCTAATTTATGAGTAATATAAGTATCCGCAGAGAATTTAATTCGACTTCAGACCTGTATAAGAAACTGAGTTGATCTAGTAATTCAAAACAAGAACATTTAAAATTGAAAACTTTTTCAGACATATGAGGTGAAGCAGCAAATCTTTGAACATAGTAGGAGGTCTCTAAAGAGCAATTTAGAGAAGTGAGGAAAAAGAGTCATAGCATAATCTACTATTGAAACAGCATACCTTATTAGAGGAAGATGACGATGCTAGAGAATTAGCAATAAGGAATGAAAAGGAGCTAATAAATAAATTATCAGAGTAATAAGAAATAATTACTTAGCAGGTTTTAGGAAATATTATTCCAACTAGATAGGATAATTTCTTTAGCTTTAAGGACTCTCTAACATAAAATGCTTAAACAATAAAGGAAACTCCTACTATAAAATAGCCAGAGAGTCCTGATGTTTTCAATGATAAGGAATCATTAAAACTTACTGTTGAGGTATGGGAGAAAAAAAGGCTTGATTCTTAAAATATCGAGGACAAGAATAAACTATAAAGTCCTGTAACAAAAATCAATAACAGTCAATCAAGAAGTCCGTTACTAAAGTATAAGAATGTTGTCTCTGTATCAGAAACTGCTTTGGAGTAGTCTATCAGAAATCTTGAAATTGGGGAAAATAAGGAAACTGCTCAAGAAATACAACTATTTAAATCTATTCTAGATTCTGGAAAGGGAGTTAAAGTGTAGAATAAAAACTCATAGAAAAGTGTAAAAATTGATACTACAGGGCATTAGTTAAAAAAGCCGGATTTGAGTGACTCATCTCGACGAATTAGGAGGAAGAGCATGACTTAAATAAGGCTTGTTGTATCGCCTCCTAATGCAACTGGAAGTGAAGAAAATGTAAATAGTTTTGAGGATGAAATATTAAGAGATGTAATGATAGATTTCTACAACTATCAAACACAAGGCACTCAAATAACTAATATGAAATTCGAAATCAATAATCTCTAGAAGTAAACTAGCAGATTAATAATAAAGAAAAAAACAGAAAGGACAGAAAAATAAAAAGATCCAATAAAAGACTCTGGCTAAAAGCAATCCAAATCAAAGCCACTAATTGGAGAGATTAAGTCCCAATCCTTCACAGATGAATATGAGCTTTTAGTAAAACATATAGGAAAAGCTCAAGCTCAGGCTAAAAAATCTAAATTTGACAAAATAACACAAAAGACTAAATCTTAAAACTTTTTAAATGGAATTGTTAACATTAAGGAATCAAAGGAGCTAGAAGATAATTCTTATTCGTTAAATGACTCTTTTTCCTTTAGTAGCAGTGAATTTCTAAGTCTACAGTAAAGCATAGATTCTGTTACAGTTACAAACGAGGAAGAGTCTTCTGTTGTGAGTAGTTTGAATTTCAAAAGTATGAGCTCGAATCTGCAAAAACCTTACATTAGAGAGAGTACCTATGATCATCAGATAATTGGAGGAGTGATTAAAGAAGTTAAAAGAATTTCTGATGGGGCTAACAATGCTAGAAATCAAGGAATTGGAGGTTTAACTAATTCATTCAAAAATATCAAGACTCAAAAGTTTCTCACCGGAAGCCATAGTAATGACATTCTACTAGACACTTTTATGTCTGGGAAAAATTGTATTTAACAATTAAATTAGATCATTAATTCATTTCTTTTAGAGGGAAAGAAGGTCAAGAAAAGAATTTCCTGGTTTTCAAAGCAAAGCGGCAAAAAGAAGTCAAATAAGTCAAGTCATAGCAGAAAATTATCTATTAAAAAGGTATTTACTATTATTATAATCTTTAGCCTACAAAGAGTATTGCAGAGACTGATGAAAATTAGATGAGAAAAGTCTTACTAGCCATCTATCAAAAGAATCTGAATAGCGTAAAACAATAAAAAATAATAAATATTAGTTGAAGGATTATTTTAAGAGATTTTTGGGTTTAAATGTACTTGGATGGAAAGATTAAGATGGAAACACTTTGCTGCATCTTTGTGTTGGGATTAATTTTGTAGAAGGAGCAGAGTTTCTTATCAATATGGGCTCTAATATTAATGCGCAAAATGTAATATTCAATATATTTCATATTATGTTTAGAATTTGGGTAATACCCCATTGCACAATGCGAAGTATTTAAACATCAATAAGATGGTAGATTTTCTGATAAGATACAACGCAAAATAAGCCATTTAAAACTCATAGGGCTTGACACCCTGGGATATAGATGTGAACTGATCATTAAATTTGAAAATATATAGCTATTAATACAAATAAATATACGCATTATAGAGATAACTAAACCTGTTACGATTTTCAATTTTTTTAAAGGAATATAATCATTCCAATTATCTCATTAATTTAATTAATTTCTTAAATTAGTAAAAACTTCAATTATTGATTGCCTGCGGGGTTTTGGGGTTTTGGGGTTTTGGGG